GGTGGCATGGGATGAAATACCACTAAGTCGATGCCATGACGTATCAGGAAATGTATTTGTATTTTTTCAACATACAGTATACAGTGAAACTTTTTTTTTTCTTAAAATTACGGGTCAGATAACATTGAAATTCTAATCACTTTGTTTGACAGAGTTTAGTCTGTTTCTAAAATTTGAATACAAAATCATGATTCCTTCTTCGTGTTCTTTTACTTTTGTGATTCAGTATTTCAGTATATATAATTTTGGAATCGATTTACTAGAATAATATACACTTCTTTTTATGACGTCGTATGTTATGATTATTTTGTGGTATTTTATAACTTGATTAATAATAACTGATTATTATCAAAACACTTTAATTTACCTATAAGTCCGTTTGAAACTAACGTGTGATCAAAAGAAAAGTTCCATTGACTGTTGTTGCACAAATTTGCTCGTTCAACGCTAACTTAATAACTTTTTTTTTACTGATTGTATCTTATAACAACTAATTAAGTTCCCTAACAAAATATTAAATTACCTTACTTAATATTGTTCGTGTTATTAGAAAACTAAAATAGGAACTTTTACATACATTTTACTTCCAGGTGGTAAACTAAAGAAGAATTGTAATAAGATCCATCCAGTGAACGGCTACTTTCAGGTTTTCTCAACGTTTCATGATACTAGAATATGAAAAATAGGTCTCCCGTTTCCGTTTATCTGCCTGTCGTCTTTTTGTCGTTTATATCGATTTTTAGTAGACAGATAATCTCCGAAACTACTGGACTTATTGTTGTCAAAGTTTATATGTACATATTTTAGGAATATTGTGCAGATGGTAAAACGCTAACCAAAATGTGTTGACATCGTCTCAAAATTGTACGTAATAAATGTTATTTAAATTTTATAAGAGAACATACTCCTACAATTGTGGTTTATGAATCCGTCACGATTTTTACCCTAGACATTTAGATTTTTGGGAAAAAAATCACGAACGTTTTAAGGTTATCGTAAACATGACAAATCGTTCATCAAAATTTATCCATTAATTGCTTAGACGGTGTGACTCAAAAAATTTTATGAATGAGGCAATTTATTTTACTGGACAAATCAAGGACGGTTCACTCCATTTTCCAGAAAATCTGGGAATACAGTACTTACTGTCATTATTAGTATTACACTGAGTGTCCTTGCTAAAAATATTGATGACGTTTATTAAACACTACACACATATCTTTATTTTAACTTATAGGGATTATCATAAAAAAAAATTGACAAAATCAAATTTTATAATTTTTCGAAAAACATGAATAGGGGGAAAGTTTTGTCTAAATCATATTAGACCAATTTTTTTATTTTATATACTGTGTGGTTCGCGTCTGTTCTGGGGATAAGTCTTTTAGTAACGCCGCTCCATTTTATTATTGTTAGCTGTGTCATATTTGATAAAAAAAATTGATATTTTTTTATTTTCATTAAAAACAAAACTGCATGGGGAGAGGAGCACTTAAAAAAAATGGCCAGGTTAAAAATAAAGACTGATTCTCTCTGGCAGTCGATCACTCCAATGCATAACCACAAAAAAAACTGGATTTTATAAATTTTCTTTTTGCATGGAGACAAATTATTTTATTTTAATTTGACTACAACGGCCCATTGTTTAGTTCCCGTCACGAGTTCCCGTATTTATCAAAAGAAAATGTAACGCTGTGAGAAAGCTTATTATTTATTACTGTGTACCGTACCGTTACATCTTCCGTCTGTAAAACTTACTAATATTGTTATGTCAACTGTCCTAGTCTTTAAATAAATAAAAAAGACTTGAGTAGGTGAATAACAGTTACTTTTTGCATTAGCAAACAACTGTTTTGCAATAAGTAATTAATTAACATTAAATAGTGATGTTAAAACTTCTTTTAATACGTTAATTATATTTTGTAAAAGAATAATCTTCACACACAATAAATTCAGGCAAAAATTTCTTTTCAAATATTTGATAAGCTATTATAAGTTATAAGTAGTAATATATAATGAATTCAGTTATTGCAAATATTATCTGTTTCTTTATATATTTCACGGAATATATAATTAATGGCAGGTGACACATTGCAACCACCTGCTTAAAAACTGTGTGCATGCAAAAAAGTCAGCAACAACTAATTCGACAAAGACAAGACAAAAATATATTAACACAATTCTCAATCTAACAGGGCAAGTTCATTTATTTTTACGAAGACATATGTATGTACGACGTCATTATTATTACCTAATAAGTATGTACCTCTGCTAAATCAACAAAGCATGAAACACTGCTCTACATAATGAAACAAGAAATATGCATAGGTACGGTTAAAACATCAACGCCAGCCATATTTCGTTACATGTCGGTGGGTTCCATGTTGTCATGTTGTAAATTGTTTAAACAAATTTGATTACTATTTAATAAACCACTGTGAAACGTTCAAAATTTAACGGACAATATAATTAGATAAATTAGCATATGGGTCTGCAAAAATTTTAACTATATTTTCTTGGAGAATTTTGCAATTTACTTAACACATTTACATCTTAAGTAATTTAAAACTATGTTCATTGCACAATGGGACAGGTAGGTAACAACAAACAGAAAAAGGTTACATATAAATATTTGGACAAACATTGTGGATAACAATGATCCCGTGTTCATAACGATTGCAACACTAGTTGCAATAATATGCTAATACCAACTAATCGGCTTCTGTTCTATCGGTAAGATAGGGTGGTAAATATACCACATACAACAAGAGAAACGATATGCTGTTTTATAGTCTTTGTAATTTGCAAATTTTTGGAAATTATTTTTAATACTTTGAGAAATATCCTCAAATAAAAAAAAAATCATTTTCGAGGATTTTAAAGATGGCTTTTATTTTCCCAGCATTAAACTAACTCCTTTGTAAGAATTATTTAGAAATAATTGTGACGAACATGCCATTTTTTTTTCCATTGTAATCCAATTCTCGTACTTCTTGCCATTAAACTCCCTTAGTGGGAAATATGAAACTCAACAGCTTGCGTGCGCACATAAAAAAACTGATGAAAATTTTACCAGTCTTGAATTTGAAAATTATGAACGTACAACTTCAAGCGAGTGAAACGGTTTGGAAGGCAGCATTAGATATTATTCACTTTCTATTTTGCATAATAATGTTATTCAAATTTAAATATACAAAATTACTTCAACTTCTTACTCATGCCATCACATGTTTTGCCATGATTCGACAGGACTTTTAAAAAATTCTTTATTAATGAATTAATAAAATTAATTTTACCAACACAAGAAACAACTTCAATTTTGTGGAATTCTATTTTCTATATTATTATTATTATTATCGATTTTTTACTCGTATTTTATGTCAAGGCATCAAGAAATACATTTGGTTCAGACACAAATTTTATCGTAGTCACTTATTACAAGAGAATTATCTTAAGACAATTTTCTTCAGTCCCTTAGAATTGCCAATTCAAATTGCATTAATTTGTTTTTTTTTATTTCCATCATCTAAATAATTAATTTAAAATATAAAACTATGCATTCACATTCACGATAAATTTAATTCATTATAACATGAATGTAGTGAGGAAAAATTTTCGAAACCTTCACTGGTGAAATTGTTTGCTGATATTTTCAATGCAATCTCTCGTGCAACCTACAAGGTAGGCTTTTATCTTAATTACTGTTCGAGTAATTATATTGTACGCTAATTATCCGCTTAATTTCTGTTACAAATATGAGAACCCCATTAAAATATTTTCCAACAGATTTTAAGGTAAAAAAAGCATAGTCATGAAAATCTATCATCTCACAGTAAAAAAAAATTAAAAACTACATTGCATAATGTACTATCTGTACTTCCACACACACAACAAGGAACACATTGCAAACTAACCACCCAAATTGGTATTAAAGACAAATCCGAGTAGGACATGTTGAAAACGAGTTACGAACTCCATGTTAAGATTGTGCCTTGACATTTAACGACCATTAAAGAGCTTTAGAAATGATCATAGAATCGTGTTGGTACTATGACTTGATAGGAATGCAAGTATAAAAGCACAAAATAAAATGTTGAGAGGAAAATATGTTCGTGTCTATATTATTGTATGTGCTTTCGAGCAAAAATGACATTTAAAGCAATGCCTAAAGATGGAATTTGAGTTAATTAAAGCTGTCTTACCAATTGTGGTACGCTATTAATATTTTAAAAACACAGGAAACGAGATATAAGTAGCTACTTAGTGACTGCAACTTGCCTGACATCCAATTTGCAGAAAGCAACTATTTAATATCGTCAACAAAAAAACCTACACACAGAAAGTTTTTAAATGAAAAGTAATCAAAAACATAATTAGTGACGTACGTTCTAGTACTTCCACGAGTAAGTAAATAGACACAAATTTTAGAATTCTTTGGCGATAAATATTAAATTTTATGTGTTTAACTGTAATTATTGTTATTTCATTAATCAGATGACTCATTGTAAAAGACCTACATGAAAAACTAGTAACTTTTAAAAAATCTGCATCAATGCCATCAACTTTTAAATTTCGTTAAACTATATCTTACCTGAATACCCACTCTGACGCAAAAAATGATAAAATACCTAACCATTTGACCTATTACGACATTACCGTTAAAAATTTATATTGTTACTAATTTTATTAAAACATGCATGTACCCTACCAACAGTATTTTTCAAATAACTGTAAAAATATGCTTATACAAAATAGCAAATTTACAAGTATTCATAACTTGTCCGAAAAAATTCCTATATTAAATTTAAAGTGCTAAAATATACATTTCTGCAAATTTTTCGCGCTAGTATAAAAATGTAACATGTCAATACAACAAAAAAAATGTTCGTCAATTTTGGAAATTTATAATTACACTTGAAAAAATAATTTTAAAATGAAAATTTAACAGACAGTGGCTGCAAACGTCATGTATTAACAAACGATATGTCATGGATAAATACCTTTGATGACTAAAACAGCTGCTTAATAGAATATATCCAAAAGCACTTATTAATTACATGTCACAAAAGTCACAAACACGCACACGAAAAATAACCTTTTTTATATATAAACAATAAAACACAGTATCAACACGATAGTACGGTTAGTAACAGAATGAAGAAAGAAGAAAGCGCTGGTTGCGAGCTGGCGATCACGTGACAGCGAGTTCTTGCAGGAGGGAGCACGTCCACCGGACATCCTTTCAACATCCTACGAAATCGTAATAGTAAAGTCTTATTCGAAAGCACCGAAAACGTCATAATAAAACATTTTTATTTATTTATTTGGAGTATTTCATTGTGCATACAATGCCATGAATTATTAGTAATAAATATGGGTCATCATTCTGAGAGTATATCTAATTATTATTAGAAAAAAAAAAGTTTATCATAAACAAATGACGATTAGGTATACAGTGCCTTTTTTACGCTGCTGATAGGGATTTACGTGCTAAAAACTTTGGGTCGTGTCAATGAGTTCCCTAGAATTTTCAAGTGGAATTTGACAAAATATTAGATTGGTATTTTATAAATCAGTTGTAGTTCATTTTATCCTGCAGAAAAAATAATTACGAAATTATAATAAAATTTAGCTTATGCTCGTCAAGTAAAATGTAGGTAATTTGTACCGAATTTAATAAATTATTTTGGTTCTGATTCGATGATTATTTTGTTATGTGCGATAAAATGAAGTGGCATTGATTTATAAAATACTAGTCTAATATTCTACATTTTACTTGAAAATACCTGCTAGAAAACTCATTAACATGACCCAAAGTATCTAGTACGTAAATCCCTATGGAACTAAAAAAAAGACACTGTATATTTACTTTGTTCTAACTAGGAAACCATTTAAATGGTAAGAGTTATATCTTACGAATTGTAGAGTACTGTGTACTCTGTACTGTGTACCGAGTCCACAAATAAATTATTAGTCATAAATAAAAATGATCGTGATCATCAACCTTCCACACAATAATTTTTTAACTAATAATTAGAATTTGTTTGGTTACATTTCTGTATCATATTTAGCTATGTCAAAGAGTTAATCAATTCAATGATCTTGTTTCAACTTAATAAAATGTCGGTAAATGAAAACTAGCTGTATTTACGAATTACACGTTCGGAATATGCATTAAGGTAATCACCTCTCCTATTTTTTTGTAAACTTTTCATAAATAACTGGTAAATACCATAATCGTAAGATGGTATATAAAAATTAACAACCAAATTTTGTTAACAGCTGGAATATACAATTTAGAAACCAGTTTAAATAATTAGGGTTTTGAAAGTAAATTGCATTGATAAGTATAAGAGAATTTCTTCGTGAGTTTGTCTGTCGTTTGTTTGTAAAGACGCGGAAATCTGAAATGATCACCGCTATTTTTAGCAACAACAATACTATTACAACTATCAACAAATATCTGAACCAAAAGTCCTTGTTTGAGTTTTAATTTCGAAAAAAGGAATTTCGAATGCCGATATCAGTGATGCTTCAGGTGCGTTTATCATTATCAATGCAGAGGTCTATCAGCGTCAGTGCCTACCAATTAAGTGTTCATCGGTTTAATGAACACCATGTTGATGGTAATTTTGGTGAAATTTAGCAAGCTCCTATTACGCCACGACCACCAGGAACTGGCGGAGGGACAACACGTGAATTCGTATCCAAAAATTCAAATACTCCAACCATACGCAAAACCGCCTCAACTGAAGATTTTGTTCTATATCATATCATATATACATGGTACACAGCGCTGGAGGGGAGACCAAAATATTTAATCCACCAATTAAAACCAACTAAAAAAATTGGTCTAAAGAGTTTAGACAGTACTTCCCTCGCTGTCGGAAACTTGACGACTGCATGCCTATTATGTTTTTTTTTCTCATTACATTTTTGTAGTGGGAATTTAAAAAAAAATTGTGATGACGTCATCAACATTTTTGCAAGGACACGTATATCAGTTGGGATAGATGTAGTGTAATACTAAGAATAAAATTATTGTGTTCCCAAATTTTCGGGAAAATGAATTGGGTCGTTTTGAATATTGATTTCTTATAATCAATAAAATAACGAAACAATTTACTCACGTATACGGCGCCGGTGTGTAATATCAATATGAGGGGCAACTGAAAATCGTTTATGTATAAACATTCTTAATTTAAGATGACAAGCGTAACAGCATACGTAAGAGCCAAACAGAGAAACTGTAAACAAAACGACCATCGGTTTTATTGCTTCGACTTCCGCTTATTATATAAAACATTGCGTTTTATTTTAATTCTTGACGGTGAAATTCACAATTGGTTGATTATAAACATGTCTATTTCGCATTCGCGGAACCAAGTGACCGCATAAAACAAATGCAGGTCTGTAATGTTAAAGTCGATGTAAATAAGCGTGCTGCTCTTATGTTTCAACCGAGTTTTTCCTTTAACAAATTTTGTGTCTACCAAATTGGGTTGGTTGGGGTGTAATACTAATAATAAGTGTTGCCTTTAATTTAATCAATAAAATAAATTGACTTCATTAATTTTTTTGAACCACCTCTTAAGAAAATCTAAAAAATATGAATGGAATGATAAATCACAAGTACAAACTCATCATATTTTTTGCATTTTAGATAGGATTTATTCAGCAAAATTTAAGGGTGACGTCATCAATTTTTTTAGGAGGGATGAACAAATACATTTTGAACAAAAGTTTACCATGCTTATAATAACTTTAAAATATTCCCAAGATTTCAAAGCATTCGGTTTTGTAATTCCTGATTAAATCGATAAAATAAATTCACGCCTTCATTATTTTTTTTGAGTCACCCTGCATATGCAAATCCAAAAATATGAATGGAATGATAAATCACAAGTACAGACTCATCATATTTTGTACATTTTAGATACGATTTATTCGGCAAACTTTTGAGCTGACGTCATCAGTTTTTTGTAGAAGATAACCAAATATATTTTGACTAAAAATTTATTATGCTCTTTATAACCTTACAACATCTGCAAGATTTCAAAGCATTCGGTTTTGTAGTTCCTGATTAAATCAATAAAATAAATTTACGCATTCATTAATTTTTTTGAGTCACCCTGTATATGCAAATCGAAAAAATTTGAATGGAATGATAAATCACAAGAAGAGACTCACCATATTTTGTACATTTTAGATAGGATTTATTCAGCAAAATTTTGTGGTGACATCATAAATTTTTTAGGGGGGACGACCAAATACGTTTTGATCAAAAATTTACCATGCTTATGATAATTTTAAAATATCTTCAAGATTTCGAAGCATTCGGTTTTGTAGTTCCTGAGTAAATCAGTAAAATAAATTTACGCTTTCATTTATTTTCTTGAATCACCCTGTATATGCAAATCCAAAAGATATGAATGGAGTGATAGATCACAAGTACAGACTGATCATATTTTGTACATTTTAGATATGATTTATTCGGCAAATTTTCGAGCTGACGTCATCAAGTTTTTGGAGGGGATAAGCAAATATATTTTGACTAAACATTTATTATGCTCTTTATGACCTTAAAACATCTGCAAGATTTCAGAGCATTCGGTTTTGTAGTTCCTGATTAAATCAATAAAATATATTTACGCATTCATTAATTTTTTTGAGTCACCCTGTATATGCAAATCCAAAAAATATGAATGGAGTGATAGATCACAAGTACAGACTCATCATATTTTGTACATTTTAGATATGATTTATTCCACAAACTTTTGAGCTGACGTCATCAAGTTTTTGGAGGGGATAAGCAAATATTTTTTGACTAAAGATTTATGATGCTCTTTATAGCCTTAAAACATCTGCAAGATTTCAGAGCATTCGGTTTTGTAGTTCCTGAGTAAATCAATAAAATATATTTACGCATTCATTAATTTTTTTGAGTCACCCTGTATATGCAAATCCAAAAAATATGAATGGAGTGATAGATCACAAGTACAGACTCATCATATTTTGTACATTTTAGATATGATTTATTCCACAAACTTTTGAGCTGACGTCATCAAGTTTTTGGAGGGGATAAGCAAATATTTTTTGACTAAAGATTTATGATGCTCTTTATAGCCTTAAAACATCTGCAACATTTCAAAGCATTCTGGTTAGCAGATTAAAAATTAAATTTCAAAATATTGTTTTATAATTTTGATTTTTTTTCCAAAAATCTGGACGTTTCGGGTGAAAAGTCGATTCAGAGTTGTAAACTACATGTGTAGGACTATGTTATTTTATACAATTGAAAACCCATTTACTATGTACAATTTTGAAGTGACGTCATCGCATTAGTGGTGGGGATGATTAGACAAATTTTGGTTAGCGTTTTACCATCTACATGATATCTACTATATATAAGTACAAAATTTCACAACAATCGGTCGAGTACTTTCGGAGATTATCTGTCTAATAAAAATCCGGGACAACAGACGGACAGACGGACGGACAGACGGACAGACGGACAGACGGACGGACAGACGGACAGACGGACAGACGGACGGACAGACGGACAGACGGACAGACAGACGGAAATGGGAGACCTATTTCTTCGTCTTCTAGGGGTCATGAAAGATCGAGAAAACGTAAAAGTAGAGAGTCGGCCGACGGACTCGATTACAATACTTCCTTTGCTTACGCTCGGGAAGTAAAAATAGCCGTAAAACATTGCTAAACTAGTTCAATACACTAATTTTCTCCTAATATTAATTCTAATAAAATACGGAACTAAATAGAGAACAGAAACGGCAAAAGACGTAATATCTTTATTTTCGTGCAAATAATAATCTGTTACCTCTTTTAGACTTCATGTCATGGTAATGTGTTATAAGTTATAGTGCATATGATTCGGCCAAATGCCAACCACAATCAGAACAATGCTACATACTAATTCAAAAGATTAAATGAAAAGACAGAATGAAAGTTGATGTTGCTGAAATACAATAAAGACGTGCCGTGAATGTTAGTCTGTACCTAACCGTACAGCCGTGGTTGAAAAATACATGAGTTCTACCAAATTAGATGACCACTGGTAACTTATTAATTCATCGATATGAAACTTACAAGCTTTACTGAGATAAAACTGATTAACTTTGTTAACAATGAGGGCGACATATCGCCCAGGGTATCTGGATTACCTGAATAAGGTATTAAGATTCCACCAAGCGTATCAGATCTCAATGCCTCGATAGCAGTAGGCAAATATACCAACATTTTTCAGGCAGAAATGTTTGCTTTGATAAATCTGTGGCAAAATGTATTCAGATGCTTTTCACTTGCATATTCACAAACAACAAAGTTTCGCTGAGGGTTTTGCAAGCTACCAGCATTGTTTAAGTATACAAACAATTAAGTATATATAAACAGTTACTGAGCGCAACAAGAAAACTCTGCCTTACTAGATATCTGAACCCCTGGACTACGAAGAGAACAAAAGGAACTCTACCAGTTTCGAAAAGCATCCGTAAAAAAGGCTTAAAGTGTGTACAAAATTAAGCCATCTTCGAGAATAGCGAAGTTTAAAACAAGTAAGAAGGTGTTAAAAGTTCGTAGTTATGATCTCAGAATTATTGTGGAGCTGTTGACAGAGCACAATCTTTGAAACAAACTCATACGTACATATGTACTATTAGGATTATCGGTGATTTAAAATCGACGTGGGTAAACTCAACAATTTATTTCTTACTAAATCAAATTTACACGACTAACTGCACAGCGATTATGTACAAAATAATTCCAGCGCAACTTGACTGAACTGGCTGAATAATAATAGTTCCCGAAGGTGGCCTCTATTTAAAGCCATACTTTCCTTCTAGAAGTTCCGCAATCGAGGTGTTTTTGGATTGCCCATCGCGACTTGAGCTTCCAGACTTTTCTTCAGAGAACGTTGCCAGGCCGACGTCACCGACGATGAGTCATCACCGACGTACATACTACCGATTCACATGTACAATATACGTAGCGGACGATAACTAATAGGCATAGGCATATGATTCTTATAGCTAGACCCTGATATAATAGAAGCACTCTACAATGTTCCAAAAAATCAGTTATCAGTTATAATAAAATATGAATACTAAATTTGAAGAAAAAAAAACAAAAATGGTTTAATTTATTATCATTGCAATGCTATCTTACATTAGTTGTAAAATCTTGTGTTTTCAAAACACTTTCAAATGTTTCATTTTACAAAGTTTAATAATGGTTGCTGCTACAGGCTGTTGTTACTACTTTGTTTTGTTAGTGACATGACTAGAGTTGCCTACTACTAGTTGATTCACGTTTTTACTAGAAGTTATTACTCATAGTAAAAACGTGATTCTGCGTCTCTACTTACTTATTATACTTAAATAAATCAAGATAGTGTCATGTTTCATCAAGTCCTAAAGACAAAGAAAGTGTTTTAAAAAAGGACATCCTGAGGACGAAAAAAAGCATTTTGTTAAACTATTTGCTTTTACTTAGGTCGAGAATTCAAAATCACTTACTGAATATTTTCTTATACATAGAAGCAATAAAAGCACACAGAATTAGCTGAATAAAACTGAAAAAATTAAAATTCTCCAAAAACCTATATAACGGGTGAGCAAAAACAAAATTTTGAATCTATACTTGATCAATCCGATTGTGTACAAAAATGATTGAGTTGTAAAGTCTTTGAAGTTTAATTTCAAATTTTAGACAGCTTTCATAGAGAAATAGGTTAAAAATCTAAGAATTTAAAAGTACCGGCATACGTTTTCGGAGCGATCACGTTCACCCGTTATATGAGATACATACTACCTGACATGGGAAGTGCAACACTAAAAAATAATCTCATTTTTATACCAGGTGTTGGTCTTCAAGGGATAAAGAAATGATCCAAAATTCAGATATACGAGTATTAATAAAATTAGGGCTAATAATGTGTTGGCCACCCTCGATGTTGAACGCACTCAAATGCACGTCTGGGCATCGATAAAATTAAGTGGTCAGGGTTTGTTTGGGGTAATTCTTTCCAGATCGTCTGAATTTCCTGCTGAAGTCGAGCCAAATAAAATCTGTGCAGGATTCTGTAACTTTGTATAATGGTTGGCCCATCATATATCACACATGTTCTATGGGGTTGAGATCGGGAGATCGAGGTGGCCAAGTTAAAATGTCGATGGGTAACATCGACGATATGATCTCAGGTGAACAGTAAGTTGACGAGTTCGTCCAGATTGGTTTTAGTGAACAGTGTCTAAATGAACACCATGTGGAATCTGAAGTTTACTAAAGAAGTGGCCACTAGGACTAAGTTTTTCACCGCGGAAGAAGCGTCTGTAGCAAGCGAGTACATGGTCAGTCGAAGTTGCTACAAATACTACAGATATAAAACTCTAGCAAGAAGATTAGAGATTAAGTTTCTGTTAGATGAAGGAGGGATGTTCGTTGTCCTACCAAACACAAGAGAAGAACTTGCAGAGGTCGATGACGTTATTGATGAAATTCTTAACATTTCTGTGGAAGACTACCAAGACGCTCACGTCGAAATAGAGCTCCCGGAATTTAAGCTTTCCTCACTGGTTGATTTCAAAACTGTTCTGCAAAAGTGTGGCGTCAGAATACTCTTCCAGGCCAGCGAAGCAGATCTCAGTGAATTAGCCGAAGATCTTCACGTTGATGCAATCTTTCAAAAAGTGCATTTGAAAATTGATGAAAGGGGCTTGGAAACTACTAAAAAAGATCCTCTTCAGTGGAACAATAAAGTTCCTTTTATACTCGCAACGGAGAAAATTGTGGAGTTTATCGTCGAACATTCTTTCATATTCTTCATAAAAATCGAGGATGTCGTTGTATTTGTTGGAAGAGTCGTGAATGCGATTCTCTAAACTGAAAAAAATGAGGGTTTTTGTGTGTGATGTATTGAAAGTTTTAGCTAATTGTTGCTTGTTTATAAAATACTACAGGACATATGGTGTTTTTCTTTAGCTAGCATCAGTAGTCTCCAATTTGTCGAGTCGTGGAAAATCGATCTCATAAAGCCAATATTCTTAGGCACCGATCTTGGCGTTCTGTCGTCTATCTTGACGGCCCAGCACGTCTTCTTCTTTGATCCTTGCCTTCTTCAGTCCATGCTCGCTGTGCTCGAAACACTGTTGAGGCATTGACTTGACGGACAATTTGCCGATAGGAGGCACCACCTTCTCCAACCTAATAATAATTCGACGTCTCGAAAAATCGCTTATTTGATGAAATTTACGAGCTTTTCTTCTTGGCGACATTGTGTTCTACCACGACATTCAGATTATGTGAGAATGACAGTGAAAATGTAGCCAACTGGAACGTAAGGTGTCATTTGAAAATCAAAAAATCAAAACAAAAACTAACTGCTAGTCTCACAAAACCTAAGAAATACCTACAGAGTCAACATTTTACACATTTGTTTACCTAGTGAAGCCCAACACCTGACATAGGTAAACATCAGGTGACAAAAATTATTATTTTTTGGTGCTGTGGTTCCCATATCAGTCAGTACACTACCAAAGTTGCACAGGGTTATTCACAAGAAGCTCTGCGCCTAAAAAACTCTAAACACGACTAGAAATACAACTCCAAAATCACATTTTTTATTTCACTTTTTTTTGCGTACAATGTAGTTGTCTGTTTTTTTATAACAACATCAAAGTAAAGTCAAATACTACCATGTTAAAGCTCACATGCCGGTAGAATTCATACCAAAGGTATTTAAATGACGAAAAAACTGATATTTTGATATATGCTCAGTGTAGAAAAAATGCAGCTACGGCTTCACGTTTATACAGGATCGCTAGAATATACAGGGTGTCTCAGAAATAAGTACATTAATTTTAACCAGTAACAGAACTTGTGAAACGGAACAACTTTTTTATCTAGCATTTTTTCGAAAACTCAAGTCGAATTTCGAATTTTCCCACCCATATATTCACGAATCGTCTATGTTCACCTTAAATAATAACTTAAATAATAACAACACTACAACAATGAAGAAGGTACCCTAGCAACCGTTTTGACACTGACAATCATTTTTATGTCAATGTTTTTACTAAACGTTGTTTCTTTAAAGTTTGTTTGGCACAGATTTCTAATTTATAGTCGAAATGTGTTGAAATGGCTTTGTTTTCAAATCTGGAATGCACCGATATCGTTTTAACGTACGGTGAAGCTCGGGGAAACGGCACTCGCGCCCAACGAATTTTTTCAGAAAACCTCCCAAATCGTCGTCTGCCAAATGCGCACAGTTTTAAGAACGTTGCAGCATTTTCGAGAGTACGGATCTTTTAAACCTGCACCTCAGGATCGGGGTAAGTTACGTAGTAATAGAATTGCTAATATTGAAGAGGCTGTTTTGAAGAGTGTCGAAGCTCGACCGGGCACTAGCACGTATCACTGTCTAGTGTGATGTATCGGAGAGTAGTATTTGGAGGATACTCAGAGAACAAATGTACCCCTTTCAGGACCAGAAAGTTCAGTTATTGAAACTAACAGACTTACTACGTTGGCAAAACTTTTGTGACTGGGTTAATAGAAAAATAAACGAACAAGCAAATTTTGTATCTCTTATACCATCAACTGATGAGGTCGGTTACACGAGGGAATGTGTTCAACACCCACATTTGGTCCGATGAAATTCCGTACGCCATTAGGAAGCAGGATTTTCAATTTCTCTCTAAATGTTTGTCACATTGACAAGATTAGGAAAATACGTATCCTAGTAACTGTTTTTGACCATAAATTATTATTAATTATAATAATTATTAGTGTCCATGGGTGACTGAGGATCCATGGGCAGGTAACCTTAATTGGGATATAACTTTAACAATTTTTAACTTGATAATTAAAAAGTTCTTGACAAAACTTTACTAAAAAAAGTTGTTGAATTCAATGAGCTCTATAACTGATTAAAATTAATGTACTTATTTCTGAGACACCCTGTATATGGAAACGGTTAAACATCTTGAGAACCCATTGTACCTATCCCCAGTAGCAAGCAATATTTTTCTAATATTTATACAAGATTGATATAATATTAAATGTTGACTAGATATTACAAATATTTTTATAATATTTATTTTATATTTATAAATTTATATATGAATTTCAACATATATTACATATTTATGAAATGTCTTTTTATCAAGATACCGAACAACAAAAATGAAAAAAAAAGTACCATGTTGGGACAACTTGTAGGTAGTTTATTTCATAGGATTTTTATTGGAGCAATATTAAAAATTGATTTGAAAAAATACCAGCTATTGTGAAATTGACCCTATTCGAAATCTGGCTTTGCAAACTATTAATTGCTCATTAAGAAGTGATATTTTTTTTATTTTTGTGAACAAAATATAACAATTTTATTCATCATTTTTATAAAACTTACTTAAATTTGCGTTTCACCTACAGATGCGCTTGCTCTGCTGGAACGCGTTTGCGCAATGTGCAACATATACATATTTTCTGTTATTGTTGGTGGTTCAAAAAGTGTTTTGTGTAAGTTCACGGTATTTGTCCTATTGTGAATTGTGATTATCGGTACTGCGATAAATTCAGAATAGTGTAGTAAATACCGTTTTGTCAAGAAAACAGCACTAAACCTACATAACCTCACTTCTACATGCAATGCAGAAAATGCAATTTCTCAACACGTAAGAATATTTAAGAGGTTAATTAATATTTCTGAATATAAGCATATTATAAATGTAGAGACAAAATGATGAATGTCCGGGCGCAACCAAAAAAAAGAAGAAATCGAGTTAGAAATTGCGGGAGATACGCAGAAATTGGATGAATTGGTAAGCATTTATTATTATTATTATTATTATTAACTTACTAGTTAAGTTATAAACTAGTTTCAGACTGATACTAATGTTTATTTGTCAGGAAGAGAAAACGTAAAAAAACATGTATGCAATTTTGAAGAAATTATTAATAGTGAACCAAACTGCTTTCAAGTTTTCAGGGCAAGGAAAAAAATAAGCTCTCTTTTAGTGAACTCACAATTAACAAGGCTACAATATGTCAAGTTATGTGATTTCTTAAAAATTACGAACTTTGTAAGTTAATTTAATTGTAGGTACCACACGGAAACGTCACAAAAACGCCACAACTACTGAAATTTAAAAAATGGTAGGACCTCATTAAGCGCAGACAAAAACAAGAATGAATTCTCATCGAAAAAAACATGAGGTATGATTTTTTTTATTTTAATTAATTATATCGCTTTTCAATGAATTGGTTATAGAGCAAATAATTATTAATAAATATTTCTGTATAACGATTGAAATGTAGCAGAACATTGTTAATTCCATTGACAATGTATTTTTATTTCATTGTAAGTTGGCAGTGTAATTTTATGTTTAAAAAATTTATATTGTGTTTCACATCAGGTGATTTTTTAAATTTATGCTCTGGTTGCCCATGAAGCTTATGCCAGCAGTTTCAGTTTCACTGCTGACATAAGTGTCATGGGTAACTACAGCAGAAATAAAAAAAAAATCACCTGGTACAAATTTTCAACGAATTGGTTCTAGGACAAATAATTTTTAAATGTATAAATATTGCCGCAATGTTTCAAATACACTGTTATTTCCAGTGACAATGTTTTTTGTGTTTAATAAATTTTATATTGTATTCCATGCAAGTTTTTTTATATCCATACGGCCCTTTCATATGAAGAACATTTATTAAATGTTCTGAACTAAATAAGTATTAAACATTGAAAATAAATATATATTCAATATTTAAAACCAATATTGATTTTCTAAAAAAAAATCTGTCGTTACCCATATTATTTAAATGTTAGAACTTCAATATTTATTACATATAAAATGTTACTGGGGTACAATCAACTGAAATTAGGTATAGGGGTGCTCTAATTATTATTAGTTAAAAATAAATGTAATAAATATATAAAAATGTCTTTGCTTCATTTGTTTTCGAGATCCATGGCCAACTTTTTAATGGCACTACCATATAATTAAAAATTCATTTATAAATAGAGCTTTTTTTATTAATTCACTGATGTAGCACAATCATACTTTCTTTTGATTAAAATGGCAAAATAAATTATTTTAAATAAGAATAAATAAAAAAACATGGCATAGTTACCTTTGCAAATAATTTTAATTTGACATGTAAGATGTTTCTTGAAAAAATAATGCATCTATGTGAAACTGAGGGCATTTTGAGCATCTTTTGTAGAAAACAGAACTTTAATTTTGGTTTCGGTTATTATTGGTTGATGTTTAATTTATTTATTGTTTAATTAATGTCAAATTAATAATTATTAATTTATTTAATTACCCTAAAATCGCGCGTATAGTCCGCCCCCGCGCATAGTCCGCCCTCACACATAGTCCGCAGTTTTTAAATCTCCCTCCTAAAAATCAGATAGTCCGCAACCTCGCGTATAATCCGCGGACAATGTGCGTGTCTGTATGGTTCGATAAGGTTCGATATTTGCTACCTATTTAGGTACCTAAATTTAAGTATCTAGGTACTTTTGAGAATCTTTTTATTTTTGTTATATATTTTATTTTTCATTTATATTGAGAATGCCCAATAAATTTTTTTATTTTGCGTTTAAATTTTTTGTTGGTTTTCCTACAGCGTATAGTCCGCCCTCGCCTATAGTCCGCCTCGCATATAGTCCGCACCCGGCGTCAGGAAAAACAACGTATAGTCCGCGGACTATACGCGCGATTTTAGGGTATTGTTTAATAATTTATTTTACCAGTTGGTTCTCACGATATTTAACCCTGTATAGAGAACACTAATACCCTGATGAGCTTTTGTTTTAAATTTGTTTTGATTTGTAGCTTACTGAGAACAGCTAAACTTGGGTAATTTTGCTATATTTAAAATTCGCGCCTTAACATATGACACATACGGCAACTTCACAAACATGGTGATACTGATCAACATAAAAAAATCAAAAACCCTGATAAGAAACAGCAGTGGTAAATACGAATAATTGAACTAGTGTCCAACAACCCCAAGATTTGTGGTTATATTGAAAATAACCCCGAAATTTCAACAAATTAAATGCTAAATTGTAACAAGAATTCTGTTTATCAGTAGGAGGTAAAGTACTTATGTAAAGGTTCAAAGTTCTTTCTCGGCCGATTGTCATTGTCAGTTCGCTACTGAATAAAATGGCGTAGTTTGTAGTTTTAAGCGAAAGTGTGGTGAATGAATGTGGATGTCTGACTGATTTTTAAACGACTTACTTTGAATAAGGTTTCATATGTAGCCAAAAGTTTATGCCTACGTAACATGAAAGTAGAAATTTTAACTAGTTTGTCAATATTATTTTCAATCGCTGCCGTTTGCTTTCTAGCTTTCATAGGTAAATTTTTAATTTTTAACAGGGTGGAAAATGATTTAGTTTTATTTTTTCAGGGTGGTACATCGTCTGGACATTTGTTCTAAGCCAGTTCCGATTCATCAGAGAACTTTTCAGAAGTGGGAGTGAAAACTCCAGCGTTACTGAATTAAAAACTGCTAGAAGTAAAACAAAGAGGCTCCGCAAGGAATAAACAGAACCATGAATATTCGTTGTGCAAAGCCTGAAGATTTAATGAACATGCAGCATTGTAATTTACTATGCCTTCCTGAAAACTATCAGATGAAATATTACTTTTACCATGGGCTAAGCTGGCCTCAGTTAAGCTATGTGGCTGAAGATGAAAAAGGAAACATTGTAGGATATGTATTGGCCAAAATGGAAGAAGACAATGAAGACCTAAAGCACGGACACATCACTTCTCTAGCTGTAAAGAGGTCCCACCGACGCCTGGGGTTAGCACAGAAACTCATGGATCAAGCATCTGAAGCAATGGTAGAATGCTTCGACGCTAAATATGTATCTCTCCATGTAAGAAAGAGCAACCGTGCAGCTTTAAATTTATATAAAAATTCACTGAAATTTGAAACTGTCGAGATAGAACCCAAATATTATGCTGATGGTGAAGATGCTTATTCAATGAGGAGGGATCTGTCAGAGTTTGCCAAGAAATTAAAAAACAGAACTGACGAAAAAAGTGAAGAGTGATTTTGAAGCATTTTTTAAGCTATATCATGACTGCCTGTCCAATAAATTTCTATTTGGTTTTTACACCAATTATTTAATAATGAATTTGTTAACTATCTTTTGAATAAATTCAGCGTTGCCTAAGTTTGTAGTACCATTTAGTCAACAGATTGTTTTTCATTTGTTCTAGGTATTTGCATTACAAAGCGAGAACCAAAGCTTTTGTAAATACAAGCGAGGTTGTCAGACAGCTAAAAGCGAGTGTTCGCAAAAGCAGTTTCTGGCACAGTGATGTACACTATCTGTTATTATTTAGCAATTTCATACTTCTTGACAACAGAGTGATGATAAGAAATTAAGAATAGAGGCTACTCTGAAACAAATATTTAGAGAATGATGTCCCAAAAATGGAATGGGTTGAATAAGTTGATAATACGATTAATTTTACTTTATTAAAATTTATCAATATAAAATATTAAAATTTGGTTTTTACACATCTACAACTTAAAACTAAGTATTGATAAATAATATATACATCTACTGAATGTAAAACCAAATGGCGGTACATTGTTCATGTTGCAGATATTTTTCTACTGTAAAATAAATGGAAAAAACATCTTGATACTAGTTACAGGTCTATCAACATTGAAGACACTTTATACAGTGTGTTTATATATTATCAGCTACAAATAAGTACGTCTAATAGGAGCCAAGACAATGTGTTAAATGACAAAACTAGGTAATGTCATTACTTGAGAATTTAAATTAGATATGATTTAAAAATCAAAAAATACCACAAAAATAGGAACCGATATAACAACTTTTCTAAATATTTTACGAAATACTGATGAAATTGCATCAAAGATCATAGGTGTTATGTTTATATGAGAACATAAAAGAGTCCTTTTGTACAGTAATTGAATTGCATTTTCAATAAATATTACTGAGCATTTTGAACTGCACACTTACAAAGCTGCAATTTATTAATAAAAAAATTGAACACGACATGAATACTTTTGATTTCTATTTTCAGTTACTTACACATTATATAAATGACTAGAATACGTTTTGGAATTCTTCGTAAAAATAGTTGAATAAGTACCTAGGTAAAATACATACAAATCACTGCTCAAAGTGATTCTAAGGTGCCATCTCAAAATGTAGTTCACTTTATTTTAAATTCACTACTTTCAGTTCTAGCAATAAAATCGACTAAGTAAATTACGCCTTATTTAGTTGAAGGTTTTTTACAACAGAAGTGAATTTTGTCAGGTCTACTATTAAAGTTCAACAATGTTACAAAAAATATTGTTAAAATAGTCAGGTTGTAAACACAATTCTACATAACAGATGCCTCATATCATGTCATATGATTGCAATTAACAAATTGCATTGATGTTATATAACAATTTTTGAAAGTTTAGCGCAAACTTAAAAAAAATATAAATTTAAATTTCACCTATGATTTGGCATGACAATCATTTTCACATGTTTTTGTACTTTCCGCTATGTATAAACTATTATTGAGTCATTATGTAGCTGTACATTGTAATGCTGCAAGAAGTTGACAACACCTCAAAACTTATTCATTCAAAACAACGGTACTTTTGTATATGCTAGAAAAGGTATCTACACCGTATTTAATACTATAGTAGAATAAGAAATAAAGAAAAAATAAACTAAAATCGTCATAAATTACACAAGATTTTCTTTTGTTAAGTATGCGGAATTGTTTTAAACCTCCTGTTTGTCGGTTGCTCCCTATATTCTATTAAAATTTCCACAAACAACCTTTGAACAAACTTACTTACTTTACAAGTATGTAGATACATACAAATATTTCTACTTATTTTAAAATTAAACAGAAAATATAACAAAATAAAAAATGATTCTTTGATGCAACTGGATATACATATAGACTGTTATTATTTCATTTTATGACTATACTTACAGTTTTCATATTTTATTTTAACCACATCAGAGAATTGAAAATCCTACTACATATCGTTTCATACTATTACAATTATTGACAAAATAAAGCTTGGAAAAAACAATCAAAATAAAATCCTAATACTGGAGGAACTCAATACATTAATTTCTGCTGACGCATAACAAACTATAGAGCTACTGTACATTCAATAATATTTTACATAAATTCTTTATCTGAAATGCGGTAATTCCCATATCTTCCATTTCCAGATAATAATTGTGTTGCTTGCTACCCAGCAACAGATTGAATATAATATTAATTTCTAAACAAATAAAAAAAAAACTGCACCATGAAACATTATCAGCACCACAATTATTTCTTATTGTATACTTTTCTATGAAGTCTTCAAACTAAAAAACTTACATCTCAGATACAGAATTGCACAATATAAGTATTTAACACATTAAAAAACATTTTAATAATATTCAACTCCACGGTGATATAATGATTTTGAACGGTTACCCAAACCATAAAATGCAACTTTCAAAGACATCTTACAGATTGTACTATAAATCTCTGAAACTCAAAATGTTAACATTCACAATATCGTAGAATTATAATACAATTGTAGACGTCGATATCTAACAAATACCAAAAAAAGTGAAGCTTTATTTATGCAAAACACTCCATTATATATTGCGTGATTCGGCGAATTAAAAAACGCATGTCCTGCTCAAGAAAAGATTTCGATACTGGCAGCTGACCCTAACCGAAAGAAATCTGACCCTGAATAATTAATGCGTGATTTCGACGTACAACGCATCATTTAATAGATATAATCAGTCAGAACTGAATACAATCCACGTTTGTAACAAGATTGTTAATAAAGATATTTTTTAACTCAAATGAAAAATAATAAAATTCAGTAAACATTTTCAAAAAATATGTTGGAAACGTTTTCTCCGCACAAACAAAAGTATTCGACTGGGTTACTTCAATGTGTACTTACTTTAATTAATGAGCTTGAGCCCCTTTGATGTTATATTAGTTGATCACTCAATAACTACAGTGAGTACTCACAGATAAAGAAAATATTATATATACTTAAAAAATTAGTACCTTATATGTAAGTTCCCAAGACCGTTTCGGTCCAAACACAGTTTATTATAATACTATCATTCTTAAATTTTAGTCATTATGTAGCGATAAAAGACAACACCAACTTGCTTAATTTTCGGAAATCCATTGTAAATTTTATATTTAAAGATCTAAAAATTTAAGAGTCACAACATTCAAGACTGTACATCAAGACAACGAGCAATTTAGTATACGAGTAGTACAGATTAAAATAGGCAGTGAGTAGTATAATTTAAATATTGTGTGCGTTTGTTTAGGCACCTAAAGTGTACGATATAAAAGTAATTTTTATTCGCTTTGATACTTTCCGTTAAACATTGTATAAAATACACAGTTCTCTTAAATAATGTAAAGAATTATTGGTATACAATGCATAGGTACAAAAATGAGAAGGGAAAGAAACAGAAATAACACTGTCATTTTTGGTTTAACTTTCGATTATTAAAAACTAAAGGCACTCAATTTGTGCGTCTTTACATTCAAGTACTTCAGTACCTCCCTCTTAATCAAATTTGTGCTTTGAATTTGTGCGTTTGCTTCTGATACCCCAAAAATTGTGCGTGTTACTTTGACAAGCGTACGAATAGTATATTTTACCTTTTTTTTTTTCTTGTACTCATTATTTACCGAAACGTAAGATGAATTCTATTAATTAATCCGATATGCAACAACTTTCCAAATAAGTATGAAAATATTCTTACCATTTTACTACAAGGCAATTTCTATAAAAATAGTGTATATTATTTTGTGTGCGAATTTGTGCGTTAAAATATCTTATTTTAGAATATGGTTATAGAGAAAAAATGCAAATGTGAATATTCATAATCTTTAAAAATATTAACCTAATATTCAATTTCAGACGCAAACAGAGACTATAGATCACAGAGTTCTTGCAAATTTCTTATTTTCAAAATCAGTTTTCAAGAAATACTAAGTAGTCTTTTGCGTTTATACAAAAAAATATGAAAAATTAAACTGTTGTAATTAATGGAAGTAATTTTTAATGTATTATATTATCACGCCACTTTTCATAAAACAAAGCCAAAATGAAACGTTAAAGCAATTTTTGAAAACAGATATTACTCCAGAAGGCTAATACTATATGTACATCGTTTTAACATAATCTTTTTTTCATTTATATTTTCTCTGCATTGCAAGTTATGTGTACATACGAAATGTGACAAACAATAAATTTCAATTCAAATAACATTAAAAAATACTGCCAAATATTTTTAAATATAGTACAACACAATTATTTATTAAAGTAATCATGAATTTAATATGCCATGATGAAAGGTATATTTTAATGATGAGTTTTTTTTTTTTAACCATTCGTTTCAGATGTATTTGTTCACAAATAGATTTCATTCCATTTTTACTATCTTGGTTACTAGCAGTAACTGGAATATGATTTATGCTACATAAACGTGAAAATGGCCTTAAGGGATAACTATTAACACTATTTTATCAATCATTCGCTCCTCTTAGAACCATAACGATAACTATTTTCTCTATTGTGAGCCTCAGACTTTCCTGGTAAAACGTGGAATATCTATAGACACCTTCATTATTTAGACACTAATCTTACGATTCTAAAAGTTGTAGTAAACTTACTTCGCTACATGTTATATTTGGACATATTAACAACGAACAACAATAGTAAACACCGATGCATTTGAAATACAGCAATATTCACGAACGTAACAAATAAAACATTGACAGTAAGTTCTTTACCATTCTATGTTATGCAATAATCTTTGAAGGTATCTATATGTATTTACAAATCTGAAAAATGAAAAAATCTACAATACGATTTTGTGCATTAAGTTTCACTTTGTGCTTTTAGAATATACTACTTTACGATTTTTTTTTTGCATATTTCTTTAAAACCGTCGCGTCGCATATACACCATTATGAATGCTGCTATTTTAAATGTTTGGTGATTTCGGAAATTGTATGTCCTAACTCATAAGTTTTGTATTGTTATAAAATGTTTTACAGCAACACACTTTGGGCTTTTTTCTTACTGTACTAAAACTATATTAAGGACACGATGTTCATGAAAGATATTACCTATTACAACGACTTATCGCTATTTTCCAAAGAACAAATTTTACAGGTACATTTAAGCGTTACGATTTGCAGCATCATGCCAGAACACAAGATACCACAATGTATTGAAACTCGGCTCAAAAAGGAACTATCTATTCAGGTAATAATTTTTTAATAAGCTTAATAGAAGAGACTTACTAAAACAGACATGTATTGCAAAGCAAGAAGATCTTCTCATTCTAATGCCGGGCCCGCCTTTAGAATGGAAGACGTTATTTTCAATGAAAAATAATTTAAACCGAATAAAACACTTATCAATGAAAAATAACATTTACTTTACTAATAAGAAAAAGCATAAACATCGATACTTTGCAACAACTTTAATATAGGTATGTGTAAATGAATGTTTGCATTGTGCATTTGTACATCGCAAAAGGATAGAATCCTAATTTTTAAAGTGTTTGATGCGCCAGTGTAGTGTTAAAAAAATTTTACTAACATTTAAGTTGTTGAACCCAAAATTTAGTCCGTTGTGTTAAACGAGTTTTTAAATTTGAAAAGTACGTGAATTCAACTGACTAGGTAATGTGTAACCTTACTATAAGTAATTATATAGACCGTTTCTACCGCAGATCAGCAAGTTCCCACAAATTATTAAACCAGAAGAGCTGCACTTATTGTTCGCAATATCCTTCTGAAAAAGTTTACTAAATTATATGAGAATTAGTATAAACGAATTTGGCAAAAACATAAGAACACCACTTACTGATTTGTGTCAATATTGTGTGTGCACACAATCTAAAGTGCTCACACATCTATGCACTTTAGATTTTTACACTAAAAAAATTATATCGTGTTACAACAATCTGATTCTAATTTATTTAATCAAATAAAAATAAATACTTTTGTTAGCGTCAATTAATATAAGAAAAATTTTCTTAATGTTTGTTCATGTTACAAACTAGTTTATTTTGCTACAAACGTGGATGTTGATTGATAAAATATAATTGAATTTATGAAGCCAAACTTAATATAAAGTACATTAACGCCTAAATCAGTCAACAAAATAAAAATTACATTGGATTTGCAGCTTGCACTATACACACTTTGAGGTCCCGTGCAGAATACGAAATATCGACTATAGAATCAACCATTTCTTGTACTGCTGTGACAGTAGGAAACTGTAAAGCTGCTTGTTTTGTTTTATTTACACTAGTAGCTAAAGCATCAGACAATGCATTGGCACAATTGAGTGCTCTTTCTTTAACTTCTTTACAAGAAACATTTCTATGAACAGTATCACCAATATGAACTAACTTATGAGCACTTAATACTACAAATTTTCCGTGAGCTAAAAAGACTTTAGGGGGTTGATTATGTTCAACAGTTTGCAAAAAAGCATCAATAGCTTGGGTTAAATTTTTATGGTGGGTTATTAATTGAGCTGCAAAGAAACTTAAAAGCTGTTTATCATCAGAATCCAAGCTATTTTTATGTTCAGCGTCAAAAGCAACGTCGTCTGCATGTTTAACTAAATTATCATAACTCTTCTTTAGTTCTTTTGGAAGAGCTTCCCTAATTTCTGCGTGTTTTTTTGAAATAGCTTCCTTAGAATCAAGACTAACATAATCGTAATCTTCCAACCATTCATTGTTGTTATTACCTTGTGGCTCCCGTTTGAACAATAGCAAACCATTACCTTGGATGAAGGATGCTATTTGTCGTATGTCTTCTGTCAGAGCTCGAGAACAAGCTACTAACTGCTCCAATTCATCTGGCTTTCTGTTTTTCTCGTCATCCTCAGATCTTGACAACAATTCAAGAGACCACCTTTGTTCATTAAGTCTTTCAGTTGCTTCATATACTAAACAATCCGATTTTTTCAGTGCTACTACCAACGGTGCTAATTTACTCGCAAGATTTTTATCAGAAGCCCTTGTTGCATTTCCAAGCGTCCCTTCTCCAAATTCTGCTAAATCATGAAGTGATGTCCTCAGTCTGATCACAGCCAACTTAATGTCCATTAAATTACTTTCTAACTTCTCCCTACTTCGCCACTGTGGCCCCACGAATCCCAACAATTTGGAAATTGAGCTCGTTGTGTCAGACTGTAACCTCTCTAAATTTTCCAAAGCTGAATTGAGTTCTAAAGGTAATTCTTTTAAAGGTTGTGATGCAAGAATGTCATAATTATGGGAAGCATGTAAAACCAACTGGCATCCCTTGTTGATGGGTCTTGGGACGTCATAATCGGGCATATTTGCTAAACTGCTTCTATTTGAGGAACTTAAAGAATCTGCAGTCAAGGAACTTGCCGAACTTGAGGGACTTATCGGACTTGGCTGACCTATCAGTGATCTAGGTACATCATAGGCTTCAACGAGATCACGACTAATGGGTGAAACACAAGAAGGTGCAGGTGAACATCGGGAACAATTACTTCTGAATTCATTTACTGGAATGGCCCGGGGTGGAACATCATAACAGTCATTCGTCTGATCACGGGGACTAAATCCAGGACTTAAACCAGAAACAGGTATGGGGGAACAACGTGATGGAGGCATGTCGTACAAGTAGACGTCGTTATACTTTTTTGGAGTCACCACCTGAAAACAAAAATTATATATTATTAACTACCATTAACACCATTAAATTATTTATTACACATTTCTAACAAATAGCTAACATTTGATGGAACTAAATGATCATTAGTTGAGACTCAATGTGAGAAAATTAAGAGAACAGTGTCTCCCAAAGAAACAGTTACATCACTTCGAATAACCTCGTATGACGGTATTGGCGTAAATGTCGACGATGTTCTGTTAATAGAAAATTGTAAACAAATAAGCTAAAACTAAATAAACATTACAAAAAAAAAAAACACATCTTAGTTCAGTTCTATGTCTGCGGCGCCTATACTCATTGACCTGGATTTATTATAAATGATATATTTTCTTTCCCTACCTTTTACATATTGTATGAAACTGAAACATCCCAACCGTTTTATAATATTACAGATAACTCAAATTTTTCGTATACATCATAATAACACACATTACAACGATTAAGTTTTTTTCAAACTAACACGGTGAACAGTGAACTTTGGAAAATGAAAGAAATCAATTACTGATTAAAATTGAAAAACAGCAAAATCATTACCTAGAGTGTTAACGTAAAAACATTAAGCCGGACCTATTTCACTTCATACATACATTTTCAGAATATAATATATATCTCCATTATTAACTAATAGACTTAAGATTTATAAATTTTAAATATAAGTTGTCCAGAACTTCCTCTATATGACTCAACGGTAGTTTTTTAAAAACAGTTTACCATCATCATTCTTTTTAACATTTTGGTAACATTTTTCATAACGTATTTTTAAAAATCAATACCTCAATTATTATTTGTGAAAATTTCGGAATATGATTTTCACCACTGTTTTCAGCTTATAAAGCTTATGTCGACTTCGTTTTTGAAACGGAGGTACACCAAAAATAGCTTCTTCGACACGAGCTTTTTCTTAGTGTATCTTATTGCTGACAAAAAAAATCGATATAACCTATAGAGTTCCGCAAGCTAAAAACAGTGGTGAAAATTGTGTTACGAATGTTCGATAAATAATAATGGATACATTGATTTTTAAATATAGTTACGTGATTAAAAATTTTACTAAAATACTAAAAAGAACCCCCTTACCATGTGACATTAGTGCAAGATCTAAAAGAAGAAGACTTTCCCAGAAGAATACAATTTTGCAATTTTATGCAACATCAACTAGAGTTGGACAATTTTTTATTCAAAGTTTTGTTCAGCGATGAACCCAAGATTTGGCAATAACGGGGTTGTTAATCGGCACAACTGTCACTGTTACTCCCAAAATAACCCACACTGGATCAGAAGAACTCATTTTTAAAATGTTTATTGGTCCATACTTCTGCGAAGGCAACTTAACAGGACACAGGTATCAACAATTTTTGGAAAATGTTTTCCGGGGTTATTAGAAAATGTTCCTCTCAACCTTCGACAAGAGCTGTGGTTTCACCAGGACGGGGCACCCCCTCATTATCACAGAGTCGTTAGGGGCTATCTTGATGAGACATTTGCAAATAAGTGGATTGGCAGAGGCAGTGTGAATGCATGCCCCCCTCGTAGTCCCAACTTAACACCTTTAGATTTCTTCCTCTGGGGGGTTGTAAAAGAACAAGTTTACCAAAGCCCTATTCGTAATTGTGAAGATTTAAAAATCAGAATTAGAAATGCATGTGCTGCAATAACTCCTGAAACATTTACCCGCGTACGGTTGTCTTGCTTAAATCGCATCGAAATATGTATTGTGAAGGAAGGAAGGCATTTTGAACAGTACTTATGCTAGTTAAATTTATTTAATTGTTCAATTTGTTTATTACATTTCTTTGAATTAATATGTTGGTGTTTTTTTTTTTAATATTTCATTTGTGTAATTTTGATTGAGGTCTTTCAGAAACAGTGACAACTAGTAAGGAGAGTTGATCTTAAAAACGTATGTGTTTATTTTGGAATCTAGCAATAACTGACAGATGTAGGTATGTTGTGTTGCATTGAAAATTGATCAAGGTCCCGTTACAAAATCATTATTCCTTCTTGGTGTTTTTTTTTACTTTTGTCACTCAGTATATATACATATGTGTATAATAAAAGAAAAAAAAAAAAAACATCGTCTAAAAAGTTTAGGCAATACTTCCATCGACCTCTAAAGTTTGACCGATCCCCCTGCATGATATAGCGCTTTTTTTTCACAAAAATCTCCTGTCAAAATAAAATGTTTATGAAAAAAAAGACCTAACTATTTTTCATACCCAAGGCATTAACTTTTGGTGAAACTTAAATTTATTTTGAATGTCTGTAATGTGTATAATACTAATGAAAACATTACTGTGGCCTAGAAATTGAGATTCTCAGAAAACTTGTAAGTACCTATATTCAATGCCTTCATTATTGTCGTTAAGTAAAGCACCTGTTGCACAATAAGAATTGTTCTTTCTTTAAAAATTGATTGCTTGATTTTAATCACTTTTTAACTAATTAATTAAAAGCACAATTAGCGGTTTTCAGTACTCATAGATTAAACTTATCGACCTAGGACTTTGCGTCTCTGCAAATGTGTCACTTAGGCATTGAACACCAACATTAATCAGAATTCTTTCTTACAACCCAGCAAATTTCCGTTAACTTGAAAGTAGGCCGGTAGTTCATGATTTTTATTATTAATATACTTTTTAATTCGACAACAAAATTGTGTGTGTGTGACACTTCTTGATTGATTTCAAAACAAAAACCACATTTCGATGATGTTAAATTTACCCTATACCGCTATTGAAAATGAGATTGATAATGAATTTCAGAAAGTAATAAACTCATGAATTTGAAAAAATTAAGTAGGTACTTATTATGGACCTCAAATTGTATAAAATGCATCAAAATTTCATGTACATTATTGTCTTTTCGAATCCAAGTAAAATCATTTATTTACAATTTATTCATTAGATCTAGTCAAGTTTTCAAAGGGGGTTGTTGCATTAATTTTAATTATCAAATTTTATTGTATAACGTTGATTTTTTTTGTAATAATTCATATGCATGAAGCAAAAATGCGGATGTATTGCTGAAGCACATAAAAGATCTCATCATTCTATAAATTCCAAACGAGATTACTCAACAAATTTGATACGTCATCATGTTAAAATGAATCAAATGAATAAATAAAACTTAATATTCTGTAATCATTAAATCAATGTTAGTTAATAAATATTTTACAAAACATTTTAAGGAAATGTTGTTTCTTAGATAAACCGCAAATCTTGATTTAGTAACTTTATTTTCTTATGATAATCCCTAGATGTTAACACAAAATAAAAGTGGATTATTAAAGCACACGCAAGAGGATCATGCAAAGCTGCATGTTTTAAGCGTGATTTTCACAACAAAATTTTGTGATGATGTCAGTACGTTTTGAGGAACATTAATAGTAACAGTAATGTGTTCCAAAACTTTGCAAAAATTAAATTAGGCTTAATCAATACAATAAATTGTCACATTTTGTGGAAAACCAGCCAAATTTTGGCATTTGCCAGGTAAAATTTTACATTTATCAGTCCAAGTTTCGGAGAGGGATATGATAGATTGACGGAAGCAACATTTCCGAGTTGCACAACGTATGTGTGACATTCGTCTAAATGACCTCATCACAATATTTCACCAACTCACTTGGAGGAGTAAAAAACAGAAATATAACATTTTTTTAAGTATTCAATAAATATATTTGTTATAAAACAATAATAAAAATGTTTGTTTTTTGTATTGGTATTTTTTTACTTTGATATCAGGTGTGATGAAATTAACTCTCAATAGAGGAGGCACATTTAATTTTTGACCAATGTAATAATATTTGTTGCAATTAAAAAAAATAGCTCTGCTAAGCTTTTTCTCTTCCAGCTAAAAGCAATGTCGTTTACAGAATTTTTTTATTTCTGTCCGTTCTTAGAGCATAAGGCCACAGAGTTTTATCTCTCTGTTTGCTGCATACACTTGTAATTACTTCTGTCGGTTTACTCTAACACAATAGAACGTTTCTCCATCAGTTGTAAATAAAACCTTAAGATGAAGCCAAGTTGGCGTAAAAGCCTTGCTTCTTTATCGAATCGTGTTGTAATAGGAATCTTCTTCGATCACTCGGTGCACGATAACACTAACGTTGATAAAACTAAACTTTCTCAAATAAATTTTGAGATTTGAGAGAGAATTTGTCCAGATAATGCCAATGTGTAGGTGTTGTAAGATAAGTAAACATTACAATAAATTTGGCTCCTAACAAACAATTTTCACAACAGTTTAGTCGACTCTGATACACATTAATTTATATTCTTTAGCATATATTTTAGACTGATGCAACATAAAACTACAAAGAATAATAATTTTGTTTACAAAAATTTTAAAACTTAATTAAGGCCAGATAGAAATATGAATCAAGCCGTTTCGTTAACGATCTACCGATAATTCGAAAAAAAAACATCGATAATACCCATCTTAGTAGCAAAAATGCGATCGTTTTACGTCATTACTTGCCGTTTCTAAGACATATTTGTGTAAACGAACAAATAAATTACATCAACAAGGTCACTGTAAAAGGATACAATAATACTACTTCTCCACCAAAAAGTTTAGTTTAATTAACAATACGCTATTTTTTCGACACGTTCGTGTAACGATTTTTTGAAGTTTGGACACGCAATAATAGGTATATTTGAAACCAGTCTACGAGGACTTTACGGGTGAAAAATAAGTATGTTAGTTAATATAACAATGAAAATTAGCAATGCGCTCATTTAAAACGTTGTTGGCAATGTACGAATTCCAGAATTATTAAGGATGTACAATGTACATGTACAACAAAAAATTTAGTAACCAAGTTGCCTGGGATGTTGAAAACGACCAATCGATATGACTGAAACCGGGAAACGTTGCCAGGGCAACGTCTCGTCTGGATCATAGGGCGTCAGCCAATCCTCCATTTTTCTTTTTGTGATTGGTTGAATGAAAATATATACGCAAAAATAAAGATCCT